CCCATACACAGTCTTAATGGAATTGCCCTCTATTAGGCAGACCCTTCCCCCCTCCCCAATTCCAGGACCTACGCCCACCTCGCCGAGGCCTTCAGCCGGCCTGGGAGAATTAATTTCAGTTTGCCCACCCCTCTCCCTGGAACCCCCTAAAACCCGGACTAAAAATTTGATTAAAAATCCCCTTAGGTTGCGTTTTGACTGCACCAAAGGGAAAGAAGGAGGAGGGTGGGGGGAGAGGAGAGGATATCAAGCAGGCCGACCATGAGCAACTTCTACAACTTTTGTGGCAGCCATCTGTGCTGGCAGTGACAGGCAAGAAATAGCGGGGGAGGGGGTTGCCCTCCACGAGAAATGAAGGCAGCATCGGCTGGAGGTGAGGAAGGGAGGGAGGAGTTGGCAATGAGAAAGAGGGAGGTAGAGAGCAGGAGGGAGGGAGTGTTGGAATGAAAAGCCCGGGGCTTGCTTTCCAGCCGGGAGGCTATACCAGTGGTGGCGATCCTATGGCACGCGTGCCACAGGTGGCACGCAGAGCCCTCTCTGTGGGCACGCGCGCCATCGCCCCAGTCCTAGACCTTCAGTCCCGTCCATGAGCAACCTGCATCAATACCTGCGCAGGGTAAGGTTGCCACGCCCGCCCTCGCCTCCCCAAGCTTTTTTTTACTAACCTGCCTTTCAGCTGCATTCCGTTTCTCCGTTTGCTTCTCAGCCTTTGCCGTGTGTTTGTGGGACTATCGGTAAAAAAAAAATCCATCAGACTTTCTAACTTCTCGCGAGATCTCAAGAAGTTAGAAAGTCTGATGGAACTTTTTGTTTTTTACCGATAGTCCCACAAACACACGGCAAAGGCTGAGAAGCGAACGGAGAAACGGAATGCAGCTGAAAGGCAGGTTAGTAAAAAAAAAACACTTGGGGGAGGCGAGGGCATGTGGGCAGGGGTGGCCGCGGCAACCTTACCCTGCATGGTGGCCTGGCATGCTGTTCTCATGCCAGGCCAGCCCCTGCAGCCCCGGGGCAGTTGTGCTGGGCGGCGGTGGGCAGGGTGTTGAGGTGGGGGCCGGCAGGCTGACCAAAGCAGGTGGAGGGCTGGAGGCTCAGGGAGGGAGGGCGCTGAAGTGGGCGGTTGGGCCATTGGCAAGAGAAACGCGTCTGAGCAGAAAGTGACCTCGGAACAAGCGGGGCAGGTAAGGAAAGAAATCCTCCCCCCCCATAAATTGCCTTTCTTTCCTTACCTGACTTCCAGCCCCATGGCGTTTCTCCTTCGCAATCTGCCGCCGCCGTGTGCAAGGAAACAAATTTTTTGGGGAAAAAAAGGTCAATCAATTCCAACTTCTCGTGAAAGATAGCCTTGCCGCCTCCTGCCCAATGCTGCGGCCATGAGGCCACAGAACAAGCCGGGCGGCGGTAAGAAACTAGTATACCGGTTCCTTACCTCTGCCTAGATTGTTCTGCGTCCTCATGGCAGTGGCATTGGGTGCGACACGCGAGGTGGCAAATGGCCGCGGCCGGAGGCAAACAGCCACGTCGTGCCGAAACTGAGGAGCCGGCAGGCTGTGCCTGCTGATGGACACAGTTGGCCCCCATGCGCTCGCTGTATGCGGGGGCCGATAGTGTCAGGCAGCAGCCGCCCCAGCCCCTGCCTTGCCTTGCCTTGCCCTGCGGCAATGGCACCCCTGCCCTGTCCCCTGCCTCGCCTCACCCCGCAGGATGAGCCTCCTACCCACCGTCCCACACGCCAGAGACCCCCTGGATCTCCCCCAACCCTGCCCGGCCCCCACAGGTGTCCCTCCCCACAAGCAACATCAAGGTGGCCACGCCCACCTTGGCCACGCCCATCCAGTCTGCTGTGACCACCGCAACCACGCCCACCCAATGGGCCACACCCACCCAGCACCCGGTGATACATAAGTGGGTTTTGGGTTGCAGTTTGGGCACTCGGTCTCTAAAAGGTTCGCCATCACTGGGCTATACCTTTAAGAGAAAAGAAAAAAAAAAAAATGAAGCGCCGCCATTTGAAATAGACCAGAGGAAACAAACCTCCGGCTGCTGCTGCTCTGGCTGCTCAAGAGGAGAGATGTTTAATGGCAGAAGCTAAGTGCCATTTCAGCTGAACAACAAACTGGGAGAGTGGAAGGATTCTTATGTGCTTTTGTGACTTTGAAGTTCTGGGATTTGTCCAATGTGGGCTTTGTGTTCTTAAGGAGTGTTTGGCAATTTCTATTTGGCTGATGGCTTGTGTTAGCGTCTATTGCTCTGCTATTGTTAGCTGTAAGTTTTGCTGCAAGGGATTTTGAAGTATTTTTCTCCTGAATGGATTTTGCCTGTAGCATTCCTTTACTTATAAATGTAGCCATTTGGGGAGGTTGCCTTAGCCGGCAGCCAGTACTTACATTTTTTTTTCTTCCTTAAGTGCCGGCTGTCGGCTCCTTAACTTTCCTTTCTAACCAGTAGCTAATTCTTAAAGGGGAATGCACCTTTTTAAGCTAGTTCCCTCAGCAGCTTGTCTTTTCTGTCTCTGGAGGCTTTTCCTTGTTTGATAAATATATAGAAGAGGGAAAATATGGGGGGGTTCAAATTCTTCCTTCAGAAGGAGATGGGAATGAGAAAGAGGGAGGCAGGGAAGGAGGGAGGGAAACAGGAAGGAAGAGAGGAGGGAGGGTCTGAAGTAAGTCCCGCCTTAGCACTTGGCCACCAGCAGCCCTGCCATTGACTTTGCTTGTCAAAAGTTGCAAAAGGGGATCACATGACCCTGGGACACTGACCATCATAAATATGAATCAGTTGCCAAGCATCCAAATATAAATCACATGACCCTGGGGATGCTGCAGTGGTCATAAGTGTGAAAAATGGTCATAAGTCATTTCAGTGCAATTGCAACTTTGAACAGTTTTTTTTTGTCATCAAGTTTTTGACACCTTGCTAGGTGGTACTCGAATATTGACATATCCTAAAAGTGGTACAATTGGTTGAAAAGCCCTGCACTAGAAAGAGTGCAGAGAAGTACAACAAAGATGATTAGGGTACTTGGAGACTAAAACATATGAAAAATGCTTCCACAATCCAGTTCTGAACAGGCCGCAGCTCGATAGTGGGCCACAGCCCGGGGGTTGTGGACCTCTGCTCTAGACAAGTATTTTGAGGAAAATAATTTTTAATTGCTGCTTGTACATATTCTAATGTTCTGTGCAATGTACTCAATATGCTTTTCTTAAAAAGAGGCAAGTAGTTAATAAGCTTTTGTTGGAAAATGTTTTCTCAGCAATTTGTGTCATGAATAAATTATTTGCTTTTTTTCAGCCCTTCTGGAAAGCTTGTTCAAATTGAGTATGCTTTGGCAGCTGTTGCAGCAGGAGCCCCATCAGTTGGGATTAAAGGTATTAAAGATACCGTATTTTTCGCTCTATAAGACGCACTTTCCCCCCCCCAAAAGATGGGGGAAAATGTCTGTGCATCTTATGGAGCGAATGCCGCCTCCCACCGCGCCACTCCGCATCCCGCGCCTCCGTGTTTCAAGCCTCTGTGGCACAGAACTGCTGGCGTTATGCTTGGGCGGAAGACGTTTTCTTTTACAGATGGGGCGGGTGGGCCTGACATTCGCACGCAGGCAGGACCCCGCCCGCCGAGCCACCACTTCCCCATCGCCCTCCACGCCAGCCGGCTCCGTCTCCAGACCTCCCAGCTTACGGGCGCAGGTCCGGGGCTCGCCAGCTGACGGGCGCAGGAGGTAGGCGCCGCCGCGGCCTCCCAACCGCGCCGCCGTGGCCTCCCAGCCGCTTGCTTCTTCAGCTGGAGCGACTGCAAGGGCTTGCATGGTCCCCAAGGGCCGCTGACGCGCTCCCCGCCGCCGGCGACCATGCAAGCCCTTGCATGGTCGGGTGGGCCTGACATTCGCGCGCAGGATTCGCGCGCGCCTACCTCTTGCGCCCGCCGAGCCACCGCTTCCCCATCGCCCTGCACGCCAGCCGTCTCCGTCTCCAGACCTCCCAGCTGACGGGCGCAGGTCCGGGGCTCGCCGGCTGACGGGCGCAGAAGGTAGGTGCCGCCGCGGTTTCCCAGCCGCTTGCTTCTTCGGCTGCCTCCTGTCCTGCTCCCCCTCCCCACCCATTCGGCCGAGGAGGCGATGGGGACGGCGGGCGGGAGGCGCTGCCTCCCGTCCTCCCCCTTCCCTGCCCGTTCGGCTGAGGAGGCGATGGGGACGGCGGGTGGGAGGCGCTGCCTCCCGTCCTGCTCCCCCTTCCCTGCCCGTTCGGCGCCGTCTGCCTTTCATTCTCTCTCTCTCCTAACCTGGAGGGAGAGGGAGGGAGAGAAAGAGAGAAAGAGGAAAGGAAGAGAAAGAGAGGAAAGAGAGAAAGGAAAGAGAAAGAGAGAGGAAAGAGGGAAAGAGAAAGAGACAGAGAAAGAGAGAAAAAGAGAGGAAAGAGGGAAAGAGAGGAAAGAAAGAGAAAGAAAGAGAAAGAAAGAGAAAGAAAGAAAGGGGAGAGGAAAGAGAGAAAAAGAGGAAAGGAGAGAGGAAAGAGAAAGAGAAAGGGAGAGGAAAGGGGGGAGAGGAAAGAGAGAAAGAAAGGGGGAGAGGAAAGAGAAAAAAGATTGAGAAAAGAGAGAGAGGAAAGAGAAGAGAAAGAGAGAGGAAAGAGAAAGGAAAGAGGAAAGAGAGAAAGAGGAGAGAGGAAAGAGGGAAAGAGAAAGAGACAGAGAAAGAGAGAAAAAGAGGAAAGAGGGAAAGAGAGAGGAAAGAGAGAAAGAAAGGGGAGAGGAAAGAGAGAAAAAGGAAAGAGAAAAGGAAAGAGAAAGAGAAGAGAAAGAGGAAAAAGAGGGAAAGAGAAAGAGTGGAAAGAGGAAAGAGAGAAAGAGGAAAGAGAGAAAGGAAAGAAAGGAAAGAGAAGAGGAAAGAGAAAGAGAGGAAAAAGAAAGAGGAAAGAGAAAGAGGAAAGAGAGACAGAGAAAGAGAAAGTTAGAGGAAAGAGGAGAAAGAGAGAGGAAAGAGAAACAGGGACAGACAGAGACAGAAAGAAAGAGAGGAAAGAGAGAGAGAAAGTTAAAGGAAAGAGGAAAGAGAGAGGAAAGAGAAAGTTAAAGGAAAGAGGAAAGAGAGAAAGAAACAGAAAGAGAAAGTTAGAGGAAAGAGAGAAAGGAAAGAGAAAAAGGAGAGGAAAGAGAGAAAAAGAGGAAAGAGAAAGAGAAAAAGAGAGAGGAAAGAGAGAAAGAGGAAAGAGAAAGAGAAAGGGAGAGGAAAGGGGGGAGAGGAAAGAGAAAAAGAGGAAAGAGGGAGAGAAAGGGAGAGGAAAGAGAAAGAGAGGAAAGAGAAAAAGAGGAAAGAGAAAAAAGATTGAGAAAAGAGAGGAAAGAGAAGAGAAAGAGAGAGGAAAGAGGAAAGAGGGAAAGAGAAAGAGACAGAGAAAGAGAAAAAGAGGAAAGAGGGAAAGAGAGGAAAGAGAGAGAAAGATAAAGGGGGAGAGGAAAGAGAGAAAAAGAAGAACGAAAAAAGGAAAGAGAAAGAAGAGAGAGAGACAGAGAGACCCTTTTGACATCTAAATTGAAGAGAACTCTGCATACAGTATATCTTTTTACCTTTATTTTATATATACACACACAGACACACAGACACACACACACACACACACACACACACATATATATATATTAAAGGTAAAAAAGGATATATGCATTGTTATCTTCATTTTAGATAGAATATTTTTTTCTTGTTTTCCTCGTCTAAAAACTATGTGCGTCTTATGGTCAGATGCGTCTTATGGTGCGAAAAATACGGTATATAAGTAATAAAGTTTACCAATTTTTTTAGCATAAATATTCTCATGCCCCTACTTGAGATATTTGTGACGTGACATGGGGAAACAACTGATAAAAAATGTGTCTGATTGCCTAAAAGAAGCATTTACTTGGACCTGCAAGAACAGATTGCTAGAATATGTAAGTGTTTGGCCTCATCAAGCCACAATTACAATTTTGAGACTCTATGCATGCTATTCACCTTAAACAATAAAAAGTTTGTTACATGAAGGGCTTTACTCTTTTATGATAGGGTAACCCCTATATTGTGAAATGATTTCATGTCTGGACTATTGCTCAGATAAAAAGGGCATTTCCAGGGTTCTAAAATACGTGTTATTTAAAATAAGTCAGAAATCTGTTGGTAAGAAAGAGGTTGATTATTTAACTTAACATTTTTTCTTTTTCAATCATTTCTAAGAAAATTCAAATAACAATTATTTGGTAATTCAGAGTAAATTTTATAGTTGATTCAAAGTACTTACACCCCACTTTTAATTTGGAAGGTTACCTAATAAAAGTTATATAAAATAACTACAATGCATATTTGAAATGTTATAAGGGAAGGAGGAGAAAGATTTTCCAATAGCACTAATTCAGTGTTTTCTTTTTTATGTAGCTGCAAATGGTGTGGTACTAGCAACAGAGAAAAAGCAGAAATCTATACTGTATGATGAACGAAGTGTACACAAAGTGGAACCTATTACCAAACACATAGGCTTGGTATATAGTGGCATGGGCCCTGATTACAGGTAACTAAAATAGAATTAAACAGGAGTATTACTGTTAGCCTTTGGGCAGATTTTGAGATAGATAAAATCAAGATGGCTAATCATTGGAATTTAACAGGCATTATACATCATATTGTTCAGCCATCTTTGCAGAAAGTTAAAAACTTAAGCTTTCCCTTGCATATATACATATCTATACTAGCAGCTTGGCTTTGTTGCCTGATTCTATTCCTGATTCCTTCTGTGCTCAGCCACATGTGAACAAGGCTGTTAACTGCCAAGACTGTAATCCCAGATGTTTATTAATGTGGAAATACAGGTCCTTGGTTAATAGCATATGTATATCAGTCTTATCAGACTGACCAAGTACCATCCACTGATGAAGGAATGTACGAGAGCAATAGCACTTAGACTTATATACCGCTTCACAGTGCTTTACAGCCCTCTCTAAGTGGTTTACAGAGTTGGCATATTGCCCCCAACAATCTGGGTCCTCATTTTACTGACCTCTGAAGGATGGAAGGCTGAGTCAACCTGGAGCGGGTGAGAATTGAACTGCTGGCAGTCAGTAGAATTAGCCTGCAATACTGCATTCTAACCACTGTGCCACCACAGATACTGTGTGTTATATGTTAGTATTATGCTTGTGAATGTGTTACTTTCTACCTGGATTCCAGGTTTTCAGAGGACTTGGCTAGCAAATTCTAAAAATTAACATAAGTTCTAAAATTAATGTACCGTATTTTTCGCACCATAAGACGCACCTGACCATAAGACGCACATAGTTTTTAGAGGAAGAAAACAAGGAAAAAAATATTCTAAATAAATAAAAAATCAGTAATGTTGAAAAAGCTGCTCTAAAGCTGCGGTGCGGTCTGGAGGCCGCCGCGGCCTCCCGAACGCCTGC